TTGAAACTGACTACGATACCAAGGCTCAAGCTCACGGCAACAGTGGTGTCTGTCAGAGTGGGTTCCCTCCTTGCCAGAGAGCTGGACATTGACGCAAGACACTTCTACTGGACTGATAGCAACATCGTGCTGGGCTACATCAACAACGAGACCCGAAGATTCCATTTCTTTGTGGCAAACAGAGCTCAGCAAATAAGGAATCATTCAGACCCCAGCCAATGGAGACATATTGCTTCCGAAGAAAATCCAGCAGACGAAGGTTCAACAGGCATCACACCCTCGGAGCTTGCAACTTCCAAGTGGCTCAAGGGACCAGCATTCCTGTGGGAAGAAAATCTCCCCATGGAACAAAACCCAGGCTACCAACTCATGGAAGGCGATCCAGAAGTTAAGGCCGTACAAGTCATGGCGACACAGTCAACGCTGCCTGCGATAGATCTGACACGTTTTTCAGACTGGCGCAACGCTAAGCGAGTCATTGCCACCTGCATAGACTTCAAGAAAAGGCTTCAAAATCGCCATGAGAGGATATCTCCAGAGGTAACCCAAAATGATGGCCAACAGATGGCAGCCATCCCCGACAAAGAACGTCTCACTGTCCAAGACATACAGCATGCTGAGATCCAGATACTCAAACTCACACAGAAGGAAGCATTTCCTCGAGAATTGCATGCACTTTCAGATCGCGATGTAAATAGCGGTGACATTGATAGACACACAGCGAGGAAACGGAATCGTACCCTGAGGAAGACTAGCTCTCTATTCAGACTTGGTCCCTTTATAGATGAGGATGGCTTTATTAGAGTAGGTGGGCGCATCCAGAAAGCAGAAACATCATTTGGCTTCAAGCATCCAGCAATTCTTCCTCGTAAACACTGCGTCACAGAGATGATAGTCCGTTACTTTCATCAGCAAGTCGCCCACCAAGGTCGGGGCATGACAACACAGGCTGTAAGATCTAATGGCTTCTGGATAATCGGCTGCAGTTCAGCTGTGGCCAGTCTGATTCATCGATGCGTAAAGTGTCACAGACTGTATAGTAAACCTGGAGAGCAGAAAATGGCCAATCTCCCCGAAGATAGACTCCAGCCTGCATCACCTTTCACTTACTGTGGCGTTGATTACTTTGGGCCATGGACCGTAAAGGAAGGTAGAAAGGAAGTGAAACGGTATGGGGTGTTATTCACCTGCATGGCATCAAGAGCAATCCATATCGAAGTGGCCAACTCCCTCACCACGGACGCTTTTATCAATGCTCTGCGTCGCTTCACCGCAGTGTGCGGGTCAGTAAGACTACTTAGATCAGATCAAGGCACCAACTTCGTCGGTAAAGAGTCACAACTTAAAGAGAGCTCTGGAAGAAATTGAACAGACCAAAGTTCAACACTTCCTTGAAGGAAAGGGATGTGACTACCCTACAACAAAAATGAATGCTCCTTCAGCAAGTCACGCAGGAGGGGTTTGGGAGAGACAAATAAGATCAGTGAGGAGAGTGTTCAATGCCCTTTCGGATCAGCATGGGACGCAACTCGATGATGAATCATTGAGGACTCTTATGTGTGAGTGTGCAGCAATCGTCAAGTGTCGACCCTTGTCAGTTGACAACCTAAATGACCCTAAATCGCCAGAACCACTCACTCTCAACCATTTGCTTACCTTGAAGTCCAGCGTAATCCTCCCACCACCAGGTACATTTCAACGTGTTGATGTGTACTTTAAGAAACGCTGGAGAAGGGTCCAACACCTGGTTAACGTGTTTTGGGCTCGATGGAAGAAAGAGTATCTACATACCCTTCAAGTGCGTCAGAAATGGACCAAGGAGAAACCGGAAGTGAAAGTGGGAGACGTCGTCATAATCATGGATGATAACCTACCACGTAACCAATGGCAGCTCGGCCGAGTGACAGAAGTCTTTCCGAGCACCGACGGGCACGTTCGAAGAGCAAAGCTCGCTATAGCTGACTCTACCTTGGATGCCAAAGGCAAGAAGACCCGTCCATCCAGATATCTCGTTGTCCTTCTGGAAAGCCAGTAGCAGGAAACCGGAATCCCCACCGGGAAGCCTTTGATTACCCTTAATTCGTGGTATATGTAATCTCAGTAACCCAGTATATTGTTCTTTAGATCCTGTGTAGTCATTGAGACCTATAGTGCCCGTTTGATTTAAACCTGTTTATATACGTGCTACTTGCTTAAAAGGTTCTTGCTGATTATATTCCAATTGTTGACAGTTTTCCCATTTTGATGTTAAAATTAGATTTGCTAGCTTTGGGGAGCCATGTAAATGTATCCTGATGAATATACTTTTTGCAATAGCGCCTTCTGTTGAGGTATAGTGTACTGCATAGCAAAAAAGCGCAATGGACAACCTCATGCATGGTAGTTAATCTTTTCGACACTGACTTGATTGAATCTGAAATCTGCTGATGATACTGATTAATAATCACAATAGGATGCAAGGAGGTAATTTTCTGATGATTATATTGTCTTATGAAAGAAGTATTGTCTTTGAATTTGATATGATTTTATGATAATTTTGCGACTGAATTCTTAGTAATTCGCAATATGATAGAGATGATTACTTTTGTGTGCTCAAACCCAGTCCCGCTTTCTGATAATGTTAATCACATTTAACCATGTAATCAATGTACACTCTCGACATAATTTTGATTGTACTTTGTGATTTACTCTGGTTTATTCACAGTTTTCACGGAGCCAATTGATCAATGCGATAATAAATGTAGAACCTGATGAGGCTTCTGTCGAAACCCTTGCATTTCTATGACCTGCGACCCATGACCCACATCAGAAACCTGTGCGATTCCCCAGCTGTAGCACTAGTAGAATTGAAGAGCTATACCGCCTGAAGTGCTGCCGCTACAGACAGTACCCATCCAACGCTTCCCACCTATGCCTACAGGAAGGTGGCTCCCAGCTGTCTCCACTTCCGCCTCAGTGGCATAATCGGTACTTGGCCGCTTGCGGCACACCACGATGAGAATGACGCTGACGATGGCAACGACAACCACGGCTTCGATTGTCACGATGACTGTGAAGCTAAGTGGGATTGGTTGTATGGCTGGAGTGGGAGTTGTAGGCGATGATCTCACTGCTGTTGTGTGCTGCAACACTTGGATCAACACTTCCCAAGCCTTGCCAAGCCTTGCCCATTCTAAGATTCAATCAAAATGTTGTGAGAAAACCCGCTAGAACAGGTTGGACGAGTGTATTGTTTCAGGGTTCTCAGCTAACCGTGACACTTGCGTGTTTTTTTTTTAAACCCACTGACCCGATCGGTTATTTCTTTTTGTACGACGGATTGGTATTGTTAACTATGACATGGGCATGTTCATATTGAAAGAGTCATAAGAATTTCCGGGTCATATCAGCGGAGAGGGCGCTTTTCCTTGAACCTTAACAACCTTAACGACACTTGCTCACAGTCTGTTCGTTCGTTTGTCGGTTAGTTTGTGAAGCAAAGAAACAATTCCCTAATGTAATTGAATCCCTGATGTAATTAATTGATATTAATATGGAAACTAAAATAGATGGGCTCGAACCGAGTCTACCTGCTTTGGCCTCATCACAGCATAGTATTCGGTCGCGCACGGCACACGATAGTTCCTGACTTGGGTATATTGGAAAACAAGTGAATCAACCTGACAAATCAATTAAGTAGCAATTAGTGGTTAATTACGGATATTGATTTTGAGTAGGGTCTGCCATATGGTCGCACTTAGCTCATTATTACGAGCCCACTAATACCGCTACTGTTTGTGATAAGGCGTGCGTGTAGTCTGATCCTAGACCAAGAGATTCTGACTATTCCCGATGAATCATAGGTTCGGTAGCCTCCGGTAATACATTGTATTACAATTTTACGTCACGTGACTAAAACGGGAGAAATTCCTCCTTTTCCCGAAAATTTCCGAAGTTTGCCGGATTCGTTTCGTCGACAATCGGATAGCACCCGAGTATTTCCGAATATAATATAGGTTTAATTAACTGCTAATTGCTTATTAATTTTTCTTTAAATGAGTTGATAATTAATATTCATTGCTTTCACTTAGAAAACTTGAAATTCAAAGTCGATTTTGCGCATCAAATAAACTCGGATCGTATGGGCGAACTTTTTGCTGCGTCATGTACAATTTTGAATTTGACGACCGTTACTTAGATTTTCCAAAACTCGGTCTTCATTCGGCTCCGCCTGCTAACAGTGCTATTTGGGTGCCTAATTTTGAAGATTTCAGATCAACATTAGTCACTGTTATCTTAAAGAAACATCAAACTGTATTATCATAACTGTATGATATTACGAAGCAAGTGATTTACTTAAAAATTTGATCAGATCGAACATTAAAAGCTAAAATTGATAAAGCGAATCGGAAACGAAGCCGAGCTTTGAAAAAGGGCCATCAATGTCGTCATGTTTATTTTTAGCCACGGAGGCTGCCTGACCTAACAAAAGGTGCACGAAATGGGGGGTTCTCAGTCGGTAGGTGTTTTCAGTAGCTCTACTGAACCCTACACAACTTGTACACAGTTCCTGTGTAGTGACTTTTGGTACACGTGTCTATGGAGTCGTGAGTAGCGATTTCATCTCCCCTCCAAAGAAGCTTTTTTTAGTTTGTACACGTTTCTATGGAGTAGTAATTTTTTCTTATTGTACAAAGTTCTATGGAGACTGATTTTCCTGCTGTGTTGCACTTTGTTTGCATGGATCAAAGAGCATGGATCACCTCTCCCCTCCCGTTCTGTACACAGTTCTATTGCATAGTGATATACTCATGGTGCATGGTGTTGGGAACAGAGAGCGTATCGTTGGAAAGGTACGAGTAGTGCTTGTAGCTCTACTCAACACATGTAGCAAAATGTTTCACCCCATATCTTGCATGGTATCTTAGGTAAGATTCATCAGGAATAGTCAGAATCTTTTGGTCTGGGAACCAGACTAGCGTGTGCGCTGCCTTTTCTCTTTTCACGCTTCCGTAGTTGGCTGGCCGAAACTCCCAACTATAAGAGACTCAGAAAAACCTTCATTATTTTGCTTGTGAACCAGGGGGATTTCCGTGAATCATTCTACAGAGAAGACCTTCCGTAATAATCACAGACTGGTACGTGTTATCACTATTACTTTATTCGGCCTTTTTTTCATAAACGGTAACGTTTTTGTCTGTTTATAAATCTCAGTCGTATAGAGGAATCCCACTGTTCAACGAAATTATAGTCGATCTGCGCACTTCCGCGTTTGAAAACGAGGCTGGCTTTGACTTTGTCAGCAGAAACTACATGTTTACAGTCCATGAGTCACAACGTGTGTTCCTTCTCTAAGATCTACGGTACATTTATGCTACAAAGTACAAGTACGATTGAATCGTGTCGAGATGTACAGTATATTAATACAAAGGTAGTGTTAAATGAAAAAATGTCAGTCTGTAAAATCGTTTAACTTAAAGTCTATTTAGAGTGAAATTTGCATTTTTTGGTGTACCAACTTATGGAGGTGTTTGCGTGTAGTAAAGGGTAAAAGTTGTAATTGATGGTTTTCGGTTTTTGCTTTCATTTTTCCCAGAAAAAAAAATAGGGTAGGGGCTGTGGAACTAGCGTTGGTAGGGTAACCGGAAGCAGAACTATTTTTATTTGTTTGGCCTAATGTATAAACTCTGAACTCCAAGAAAGAACAGTCTCATTGATATTTAATATACAAATATACATCCTTTGCTCACATTATTTCAAATACATGTACCCAGCACTTTCTTGACTTTTATAATAAAGTGAGAAAAGATAAATGTTTTGGAGCATATTTTTGTAAAGGGTCAATTTGTTTATGTTTGGATTTCATTCAGGCACTCGGCGTGACTTTGTAGGTCTCGGCATCGACAAATGGAAGCCGGGAAAAAGGGTGGTGTTTATTAATTTATAACTCCATAATGGATAAGAACCTTATTAATTTTCACGAGGCTTGAAAAGATTGACACATTGAAAGCACCAGTGTTACAACTTTTTAAAATCACGTATAGCCAGGCTTATTTTTCCAATTTCAACAAAAATACTGAAAATATATTTTTAACATATTTTTAGCATATAGTTGGATCATTATGAGGCATCATTATGAGGCAAACAAACCCTGACAGTTGCATTAAGATACGGTCTTCCGAACGGGAGAAATTACATGTTTTAAGTTTTAAACTGAGGTTTAATCGCTGGTGATGTTTGAAGATATTGTGACGACAATTCTTGAAATTAGGTGTTGTTAAGCACCCTTCTTTCGATTTTAAGCTCTTTTGTTGCAAACGAAAATGGTGTGCCCTCCGGAAATTTCCCAAAATTGATGATAAAATAAATACTTACGGACATTTATTCCTTCTAAGTTTGCATGGACATGGAATAATGTCAGAAAAAGTTCCGTAAAACAGAACGGAAATAATATTATTTTAAGATCCTCTACCACAAAAAAAAATGAAAAAAATGAGAAAAAAAATGCATTGTTGATGGCGTTTTTGTGCCGTTCAAATGTAATGTAATTTACACGAAACCAGGGCTCGACCTTTACTTTTTTTTCCACCAGCCAACCGGGGCACTGAAACAGACTTAACTATAGCCCGCGTGCTTTTTTACTAGCCTGCATGTTTAGTCCATTTTATAGTGTCTCGTAAATATTTTATGTGCATGCATTTAAAACGTGTAATGTGTAAACAATCCAAAGGGCAGTATTGTCAGTGTTTTTAATATAAACAGATCTAATAATGTAACCCTTAATTGATACAAATACAGATATGCTTTCTTTATTTAATAATTTTTTTCTCCCTCTCCCGTTGCCGTAGCCCAACAATGTTTGACTCGTTAACCGGGCTATGAGTTCGACTAGCCTGCCGCTGTTTGACTAGCTTGGCTGGCGGGCTCCCGCTCAAGTCGAAATACGTAATGCGTTTGCATAAGGCAACAAGTGCTTTCTGGCCTCCAGGCTCCAATCGTCGGCCGTTGGCACGTCCACAAAGGGCGAATAAACTTATGAAACTTGAAGAACTAAATTGCTTTGAGTATGAAAACACTTGACTCTAAAATCACATGGTCAGTAAATATGGCTGCCTTTTGTTATGTGGCAAGATTATGTAGTACTTGTACCCACACAGGGTCTCTGTATGAACACAGGAAGTGCACAAGGTTACTCTGGTGGTGGGAAGGAGGCTACTTTATGTAACACATAAGTAGGCTCTTTCACTATTATAAGCTGAAAACTAACTGTAGGCTCTTTCACTAAATATGAAATAATACTCTAAAAAATGAAATTCTAAATTTAAACTATACAAATCTTGTTAAGAAAATTAATTAACCTAAGACAAACTCACTGCACAGCTGCTGCAGTGACAACGGTTATATTGAGACTATCAGGAATAGACACAGTAATTTTTGGAGTAAGGAAATTAAGGGTTTTTGTTACATTTTTAAAACAAACATTTTTAAAAGTGTATATAAATGTTAATTCAAATTAGGCTTTGCCCTTCACCGACGTCGGTGAAGGGCAAAGCCTAATTTATTTATATCACCCCGACGCCAAAAAAAATGATGGGTAACATGTATTCCTTGCAATGTGAACGAAAACAATTGTCTCCTCTTTTACACCGACGGGAGAAGCCTTTTATATGAGCAAGTGCCCCTTTTCGGTACCCCCCCCCCCCCGTTTGAAAAGCGTTCCGCTGCTGCTGTCACAAGAAGTGAAACTTCGTTTTTATCTCTGGTTTGGCTTCTGGTCTGGAATCATTTTTTTTACGCTGACAACGTGAAAACCAAATTGCAGTGTACGAAAACGTTTCTGATTACAAGTGTATAGAAATATAATATCTAAATATTTTTGTTGTAAGTGGGACATAAATTTAGCCGGAGTTCAATCAAGGTATTAAGAAATCGCCCGAAGCTGATGATGAAACCAAACATTGGGAAATGCGTTTAAAGTCTGATTCCGGGATCGTAGTTTGTGGACAGAAACCACGAGGTGAGAGCCCTTGATACCGCGTACACAGTATTTATACACGATAAACGGCCACAATTTGGCGGTAGCAAAGTACACGAATAAAAATAACTTGGTACCATAATTCACCGCATATATAATTTCGCACAGTGTTATGAGCCTTCGACTCTTCTCTTGAGGGACTCGAGTCGAATCGAGTTATTTGTTCGCCGTGATTCGAGTCGGGTTGGGACTCGAATTTAGCGGCTTCACCAACAACTGTGACTCAGTCAGATTCGAGTCGAGTCATTAACTTGAGTCATTACAACTCTGCTCCAGCCTCGAACTCGCCCAAATTGACTCAAAACTCGGACTCGACTCAAGCGACTTGACCGTAACACGGTTCATCGTCACTATCAGCATGGGCATCTCCAGAATTTTTCCTAGAGGGGGGCAAAGCATTTTTCCCCCCTCAAAATCCCTATTTTTCCCCAGCATTTTCCAGATTGATCATTTTTGGAGGGTTGGCAGGGATATTTGCTCCGACAACCCATTAAATTAGCAACAACATGATTTCACCCCTCTTTTTCTTTTTCCCCCCTTTTTTTGGCTCATCCGACGCCCATTAATATCAGCATCATCAGCTTTCACTTAGTGCATGTAACTTATGGTTCAGATTAACGGAACCTCTGGGCTATTTTTTTTCGACGCTTGCTCTCTCTCTGTCCATAGTTTTCATCCACCATGCATTTTCAATATTCTCTTATAGACTACTGAAGTTGACTGAACTGACCCCTCTTGAAGTGTGACGTCATGACAATGCCAGGGGTAAGTAGTAAACAAGTCAGTAAACAAATTAAAGTCTATCCCAGGCAGGTTCAGTCTTTAAGTTTAAGCAAGTAAAACAAGTCTAACCAAGTCTAAACCAGCCAGCCAAGCCGAACCAGGCCCAACCAAACCAAGCCGAGCCAGGCCCAACCCAACCAAGTGCAGGCCAGCCCTGGCTCCCCAAGCCTATAGCCCGGCCCAGCCTAGACGAAAGGCGGTGTTGTATCCGGGGAGGGGAGTCACTCAACATTGTTTTTTTCTTTTACCCTGATACAACCTGGACCGCTGTCTAGTTTCTCGGATTTGATCGCTTCTGGACCAGATTATTCGTACAGTGACGTTATAATGTCAGAATGCAACAACTAAAGCAGTGTGTTTTGGTAACATGGTCGCAATTGGGTGATGTGGTGAACCGCCCATCACCCTTTGGTTTTGTCAATGTTCTTTGTTCTTGTGTGATTATTTTTCTTGACAATAATTTTCCGCGGCTTTTTTTCAAACGAAACAACGCATGAAGTTCAAAATTGGCATGAACATCAACCCTGATACAGAGTTGTGCGTACAAATGTGACGTCATGATGACGTCATCAGTCCCAAATTACAAGCGATTTTAGTTCAAATAGTGTTCTTTTTGTTTAAATCATAACCAAAGAACAAAACAAAGGATGAAAGCTTGATGAACATTTGTGTGTGTGTACGGGAAGTTGCTTGACCAGTTGAGCTCTACTTCCGTGGTTAACGGAAGATAGGTGAATTCAAAATACCGAAAGAGGCGTAAATATTAAAAACAAAATTAATTTCTTCCAAACAGTTCTGGGGATGACGATGTAACCTTGTACAAACATGCACCATTGTGTAACAATTCGACAAAAAATCGTGACGCCAACTTGACGTCATCACACCGAATTATCAGCGATTTAAGTTCAAAATCTGACATTTTACTTTCAACTATATCTCTCGATTGAATTGATTATCGGGTGTTTTTGTTTTAGTGAGGTGGTAGATATTGTCTTGGGCAATATGTTGGATTTCCGTGCAAACAATCGCTTGAACTTTACTTCCAAGTTTGCCGGAGGTACAATGATAAATGTATAAAACTGGAAACGGAAGCATTTTACTACAGTAGTACAAATTATAGAAGGTGTTTAGTGGGAAATGGAAAAATCTAATTTTTTTAAAATGACGTCATCCCCCGAAACGACGCCCTCTAGCGGCAGATCAAAGACAGTTGATATTTTGAAATTTGAAAACCCTATGTCCAAATTTTACCAAACTACCCACAAACATTGTTTTACAATGATGACGTCATCCGACATCAGGAAGTTATTGTAGGGAGACGTTGTAATCATCAATGTTTTGCGTTTTTAAATTAAAATCCTTCGTTTGCGCATGAGCTCCGTGCACAAGTACCCCTTCAACGGCCAGAAACAAGGTGTAAATAACATGTGATTTGCAATTTATCGTTCCGTAAACGCACTTGTTCAAATTAATGAATGCTTCAATGCGAAAAAAAATTTGAATTTTTATAGTTGTGTGTGTGTTTTTTTTTTTGCATAAACATAATTATTTACAACCGAGTTGGTGTCTAACAAAACTGTTCAATGCCCCCATCACCCTGCGATTGTTACAAAGACAAACGCATACTTCCAGTATAGTCCATCATTTGTAATTTGTGCATTTTGTTCGTTTGAAGCAACAAAAGTGTTAAAAATCTAAAGAAGGGTGCTGAACAACTAACCTGATGAAGTTTTAGCTCAGCTTCAGCTGTACATTTTGAGATAAACAGCATTCTAAGAACTCGATTTCGAATCAAACGTTGCTGAATCATGTTTTGAATTGGGCCTGAATTCAGCGTCCGAAACACGTTCTCTCTGAGCCGTTTGCAGCTACACAATGTCGCGCAGCAATCCGACGCAGCTTTCTTCCTGTATCCTCATTCGATACCGCAATTGGCTAGTAATGGATTTTTATCGTGTATTTGGTGTTGTTATTCACAACGTGCAGTACGTGTTTTCGCCATCATTCTTCCACGCCTTCTCGAAAATACACATTTCCTTTCCAATTTGTTCATATTAATATGAAATATGATACTGCATGTTGTCTTGATAAGATCGTAACAGTTTAATTAAATGAATCGTGTTTCCGTAACTCACGCCACGCTCGCGCTGCGACGAATTGACTCTGTTTTTTTACCCCAGACGCCGCATACCAAACCAAACGCTAATGTATCGCACATGCAGGCACCAGACTATTCCTCATTTGCGTACGTGTTCAAAAATCTTGCACATGCAAATGATCCAGTACCAGGGTGAGAGAGCAGGTAGTGATGGGCGCGTACTTCTCGACACCCTGGGGACAGAGTTGAGTTTAGTCCCCTTACTCTCTTTCAACTAAGGCCAAGTTCGCGCAAGGACTATAGTTGACCAATGGTTAACTAACGTTTGCCCGAACTCTGTCTAGTCGACGGTGGTTGACTACGCTAGTCGACTATTTGGAACCAGCCTACTGGGGTTGGTTGCTTCGCTGGTAACCAGTAGCCGCGCGCATTCATAACGATAGTAGAGAGCCAGGATCCAGAAGCTTTGCGATGACATTTTGCCCAGCGTTTGACTAGAGACGTTCGCACAATACTATCAGTGCGCAGGCGTAAGGTACGTCACAAATCAACCACTAGTCGACTAATGGTCCTTGCCCGAACTTGGCCCAAGTATGTTTGTCAACAATAATAACGTCAGTTACTTTTTGGATAGTTGCAAATGATGGATTACAGCTTTAATGTTGAGTTAACCGGGTCGTCTCAAAACCAAAAACAAATCGCCCCCCCCCCAAACCCCCAAAAATCCGAAAGCGGTGTAACCGAAACCCTTACGCAAAGATGTTATCTTTGTATCTGTCTCGGCCGACCACCGCTGGAAATTTATACAAAAATACCCTTTTCTTGAAAATGTCTTCACACCAGGTGCCATAATTTTACAGGATGCTTTAGACTGTCATTTACCAACATCCTAGTAAGGTATTTCGTAAAAACTTGGTAGTTTTATTTTTCAATGTTTGCAAATATTGTATTCCTATTAAGTACTTTCTACTTTTGAATTTATTAAGTTCGAAAGCCAGCGGCACCTATGCATGTGCTTTAGCGACAGTGCAGTTTATGAATAACTATGTCAACAGCATCCCCCTCCCCCCCCCGAAAAGCCAAAAAAAAAATAATAAGCGGAGAAAACAGAGGAAAAAAGGAAAGAAAAAGAGGTGCAAAGTCATATTGCTGTTAATTTAATGGGTTGGGGGTGGGGAAAAATGTCCCTGCCTACTCTCGAATAATGATAAATCGAGAATATTTAAGTAAGTACATGGATTTCGGGGGGGGGGGGTGTTTGCCCCCCCCCCCCTCGAGAAATTCGTGGAAAAGGGACTAGGGAATATTGGGTTAGGGCACATTTAAGTTTGAAAAAAGTTGTGCACAAGTCTATGGAGATGTCTCCCAAATGTCCAATCCACCGTAATTATTATAATTATAATAATAATATATAATAGTACGTACATGTACATGTACTGGCATGTCCAGACTAATTGTACATGTACATGTACGTCTTTGGTCAAGTACATGCACGTGTGTATACACGGTTTACAGTGTGGAACCGTATGCGACCAAAAAAAAACATGGATGGGCCACTTAAAACCAGACTTGGAAAGCCACGGCTTTCGCTATAAACTGTAGGACAGAAAAAGACGCAATTCATAGCAGAAGTAGTTTAGGGAGACTCTCTGGCACACTTTTGACCTTTGGCATAGAAATATGTAAAGGTCACATAAATATGTAAATATGTATATACAGATATAAATATTAATTAAGTGGAGGCCTGAGTTTTCGGCACAGTTTGACCTTTAGTATGGATGGAATGGATAAGGAATAGGTGAGGGTTAGGAACCGAGTACAGTTTGACCTATTCTATGGGAAAGATTGCATAAGGTATGGGGGGGGGCATATAAAAATTTATATTACATTTTGACCTTAGCTCGAGCAATACTGTATAGTTATGTATCTACATGTATATTGCAACTGGTTGCGCGACCCGAACACGGCCAGTTGTGTGGCCGGCAGTAGATAATCCTTGGACAATGGACAGTACCACAGCACCGGGTGGTTCGGAAGTGAGCGTCGACCCGAGATAATCCTCAAACAATGGGACTGTAAGCTCGTACGTGCGCTCGCGTGTTGTAAGTGGTTAATACCTCGGACAATGGGACTGTTGACACAGGGGGGCCGGAAGTAATAATTGATCACGCCGTGCGGTTCTAAGGCGATCAATATTTCTCGAAAAGGCCTAGGGTGGCGCACGTGATGTGAGGCATACTTTACAGATGTTGTCGCGAGTTATATCTAGGGATATCGTCCCTAATTATTTTTAACCTCTGCGTTTCGTACGTAACAAAACAAAAAGTCAACAAAACTGTCGTACTACCGATCATTCGGTCATTTTTAAACCGTGGAGAAATAGTATAATGACATCATAGAGCTACTACTACTGTATACATTACACCCGTCCGATCAGATAGCGCACAAGTTTCCTTAATCCATGAAGGCTAAATGATCGATTAGGCTCTATATCTTTAAGTCTGCAGATGCGCGTGCAATTCGGAATGAATTTGGTTTAAAAAGCGTCATTATAGCCGCAACAAAACGTGTAGGCATGTGCTTTTTAAAGGGAACTACGGCCTGGAAAGTGCCCGATTGAGCAACACCGTTGAATGATGTTTATCGGAAAAGAGTATTGTATAACACAACCATCCTTTACAATTGTGCATTTTGTAAAATTTCGTACTAGAACGACCCCACCCTAAAAAAAAAACCCAAGCTATAACTTATCCACAGGAAAAATGGTGCCCCTTTAACGATGTCTGTACAGAAATGCATCGAACCCTAGTTGTAATTGTACCACCGTGCCGGATTTGTTTACAAAATCAAGGATTACTGGGTTTGTTAAAGCACTTACGACTATTTTACGGGGACTATTTACAGGGCGTGTCCAAACACTAATTTTATGACTGACAGTAGGCTTTTCCGATTGTTTAACTGTAAGACAACACCAGAGAAAGAAAAAATACAACTGCAGAAAGTGTTTACATGATAACATTATTGCTTTATTGGCGTCATTTCTCATTGAAACACTCGTGTTTTTATTTGTCTGTCCCAATGTTTTTCTTCTCAATTATATCGTCATTGTAACGTTGACTAGTCTTTGATCATCACTGTCTTCCTCGCTGACGTCTTCTTTATCTTGATGGACAGTCCGTCAAATTTCATCTGGTGGTTATAGGCATAATTCTGCCGAGAGCCTTTTGTACGTCGATCCCTAAATGATTTTTTCTTCGAGATTGTCCACAATATCTTGACGAGCATCGTTGTCTTTCAGATGTAGGTAGCTTGAAAGAAAATCCTTGTACTTATTGAAAAAGATTCGCTTGACTGCCCAGAGGGTCTTCCTATCGGCCTTTTCCTTGGCCTGATCTTCACCCATACCCTCGTTGATGTACTTTTCATGTTTTTCGCTCCACATTTCATGAGTCGCTTCTTTGGACTCTTCCAACCAGTCTCGAAAAGTAGCATTGTCTTCTAATTCAGAACTAGACTCATCTTCATCGTCATCTTCTACCTCCGAGTCCATTTCCAAGTCCGATTTATCCACGTCAGGATGTTCAGATTGAATAACCTCAATTTCAAAATCATCGTTAACCCCATTCATTTTAGATTCATCTTCAGCATGTCTCAAAAGGTTATATCTTCGTTCAAAGCTTTTATCACACTGGTCACAAACATGGGGTTTGACCGCAGAAATAGTATTCATGTTGAAGTTATAAAGGTTGAATCACAAATGACAAGAAATGGATGAATTGGTTCAATATATATTGTGCCAAGACCTGTCATGCGATGTTTGAGCTAATTCGCACATTCCTGCGCATGCTCCCTGTGTGCCTGTGCGCTCTTTGTCTTCATGTTGCTCATTACGCTGCTTATCCTGCGTATTTGACTCAATTCTGTGCTCATTGTACTTATTTCCTACTCTTTTGATTACTCATTTACTCATTTATAGTAGTAGGCAGTAGATAATCCTTGTCAACGATGACATCTTCCTCAAAAGTACAGACACTGACAAATACACTTCCGCTTAAAGGGAGAATGTGATTACAACCAAACTCCCGAGACACATTGGGTTTATAGACATTTACAGTTTGTAGGACAGAATTTGTCGTTGGAATGACGAAACTGGAATTGCATACGTTGTGAACGTCTGCAGATTGAAATAAATACAAACAATTCAGCGTTATTGATACAATTATTAAGAAAAACATAACGATGCCTTCTAGTCACGAAACACTATTTCGTCAATAGCACTCTTTATTGCAAAATCAGTCAGTTGCAAAATCTCTTCCTTTTTTTAAATGTCTTGTTAATGACAGCAAGCCAGACAATATAATTTCACGGCTTGTTTAGTACATGTACGAGTACGATCTTCGATCCAAGTAAGCTTTTGGATAATAGTTTGGTAGGTGTGATGTATCTGTAAAAGTGGATACCGCCCTCTGGAGTTTACATTAAAGTTGACCTTTCGGGATCACTCTCTTGTTCTCGAACGACAAGTTGTCTCGTGTCTTTATCTCCGAAGTTCATGGATTAAGATCCGTTTGTGGCTGCTCGTCAGCAGATTAACTTTAATAATAATAATAATAGTGGCATCTAATTAAGCGCAACAAGTCCATCACTCAGTGACGCTCATGCCGCTATACAATGAGTAAATATACAAATTACAAAACTAATAAGTGCTAAGTCCAAGACATACAGTATGAAATTTTTGTATAAATGCAAATGATCCTTATGCCTTTAAGAGTGCCTCTCATCTACGCTTTGCAGCGGCGCTCTACAATCGTCTGCCCCTCTTAACACTTTCCGTGTTCTGTACCGCGGTTTTGTTCTTCAACGTCTCCCGCTTGTTTCCATCAGGTGAAAGTTGACGAGGAAGTTAATATCGTCTTCAACGACATGAAGTTACTTCACGCATACAGATGGGCCATTTTCAAGATCACAGATGAGAAGGTTGTGACTGTGGACACCAAGGCCACGGGGGGTCAAGGCTTCACCGAGTTTTACGACAGCCTGAAGAAATCGAATCAACCGCGCTACGCCCTCTACAATGTTCCACAGGAATGGGGCGTACATACAGAGCAGTTGGTCTTCCTCTTCTGGTTGGTAAATTCACGTGTTTCTTGGCTTTACAAAACGTTTTCAGCATCGTTTTGCTTAATAATTTATTCTTTAAGTTTTGGAAGCCTAGCGGCACATAAGCCGTTACAATTGTGAGGTTTTTTTCTCCATTTGTATTAAGTTAAAAGTTCTAATCCTTGTGTCTTAGGAATAACCATGCAGCCTTTAGCTTCCGTCCTCATGCCACTTTGTTATTCGAATTTCTTTGGAGCACGGCGTTTGTGCATAAGTCATTCATGTATGGGGCCGTCCATAAAGTACGTAGCACGAAGGGGGAGGGGCTGTTGCGTACACCATGCGAACAGCGGGAGGGGGTCCAAGCCAATGCGTACGCACGCAAACCGAAAATTTGCTTGTAATCAATGGTCATAAAATCAATGTATTTTCCTCACATTGAATATCAGTATCAGGGCCAGCTTTTATGTATCGAAAACTGTTATAACACAGCACCCTTCAGCCCACCATTTGGATTTCTTCCCAGTGCCACCGCCAGTCTATTCCTTTAGAGAGCATTAAACTTCAGAGACCGCGAAATGATTAAACGATATACGGGTCCCTCTTTAGGTTTGGTTAAGTTCGGTTATAGTCGATTTTTTTTTCATCATTCCAAAAACAACTTCTGCAACCAAGAGCTGACATCTCTTAAATCTAACGACAATATATTTTTTATTTGACAGTATCGTTTGATAGAAATGCTATCATTCGTACGCATTTTACAGTTCATGCAATGTGAATCAATGCGGTGTTGCACATTCACGGTGCGTCGCGGTGATCGCCATCTCCATCTTCATTTTCGTGGTGCATTTTGTCGTCTTCATCATCGTTTTACTCGAAAATATCCCACACAAAATATCAACCTTGCCCCTCTACATTTGTTCACGACAAGTTGTTGGTTTTAAATGTCGCTAATAAACAAATAGCTTCAAGTAGCCGGCGAGCATGCATTTCGTAATGCTTCCTTTATTCTAATCTACATGTACAATGTAAAGCCCCTGTCACACTTTTGCGTATCCTAATTCCTTATGATTTCCTTATCAAAAATTTTCAACACGCAGCCGTACTCTCAAAACGTCGGAATTTTTTGAATACTTTGACTTATGTGCGACGCACATCTAGCGTACAAGTAACGAATTCAGCGCATCCATTGCGTATGAGATGTGTATGAGTTGCGTATGCAGTGCACAACATTATTTTTCGGGCTGCGAATAGGTCAGTATGCAGTGCGCATGCTGAGCGTATTCCGGACGCACCCGACTTATGCCGACCGCATGCCTGACGCAATACGTCGGCATTCGCTATGAGTTCGTTCAGCGTGCGTTGTATCTGCGCTGCAAGTACGCTGTGTATACGTCCAATATGGGCGGTTCGTATGCTGACGGGGTGCGTGCCTGGAGGTCAGCGTATTACTGCGTATGAACCGCTTATCCCCCACGAACACATAGCGTACTCGTTCCGTGCTCGACCGATGCGGGACCGATGCGCTGCGTATTTAAAACATATGAACTGCGTAACAGCGTACGCAGCGTAGTTTTGTGCATGCCCAAAACTATCCAGCGTACTGGGCCGTACCATGCGTATGCCTGCGTACATAAAACTAACACAAAAAAATGTCAATGCGCAACTCATAAGGAATTAGGATACGCAGAAGTGTGCGTATCCTAATTTCTTCTGCGTATGAGTTGCGCATTGACATTCGTTTTCATAAGCTGTCGTACGCACAATACGCACCTCATATGCATCTCTATCGTTTTGTGTAGGTTTTATGTACGCAGATATACGCATGGTACGGCCCAGTACGCAGGATAGTTTTGGGCATGCACAAAACTACGCTGCGTATGCTGTTACGCAGGTCATAAGTTGTAAAAACGCAGCGCATCGGTCCCGCATCTGTCGGACGCACCCCGTCAGCATATGAGCCGCCTGGATTGGACGTATACATAGCGAACTTGCAGCGCAGATGCAACGCACGCTGAACGGCGAGCGGCGGAAATGCGGCGGGAATACGCTCAGAAGTGCGTCAAGCATGCGGTCGGCATAAGTCGGGTGCGTCCGGAATACGCTCGGCATGCGCACTGCATACTGACCTATTCGCAGCCCGAAAAATAATGTAATGCACTGCATACGCAACCCATACGCATCTCATACGCAATGGATGCGCTGAATTCGTTACTAGTACGCTAGATGTGCGTCGCACATAAGTCAAAGTGATCAAAACATTTCGACGTTAATTGAGCGTACGGCTGCGTATTGAAATTTTTTGATTAGGAACTCATAAGGAATTAGGATACGCAAAGGTGTGACAGGGGCTTAAAGTGCATATTCATTTACAAACATGATTATTGTACATCGAATTTATATGCATACAGGGTGAGTAAAAAAAAAGCAGAACCCAAATCCCCAAAATTATATTTCATATTTAAAAAAAAACATGTAGCACCAAAAACAATAATGACCTGGAAGCCAATATCAAAACTACTTTTAAATGAAAACAATACTGAAATTGCTCAATACGTTCAAAGAATATCACTATTTAAACGCAATGACCCTAAAACCAGTCAGTTGCTTAAAAAATTAACACTTTATTGTGTGTTCTGACTGTTCATTTGGAACAACAAAGAAAATGACAAAGAATACTTGTTTCAACAACTTACTGTCAACAACTGTAGTACACAATATCTGCATTAACAACCCTGCTTACTAGGCAAACGATAGATTTATAAAATCCACTTTTTTTTTTTAATTATGGGCCTTCAAAAAGACTTTATTGAATATGTTTAACTTTTTCATCCTTTTTAAAGGATTTATCGCTAGTGATGTTTGATTGTGACGAAGATTCTTGAAATCGCATTTTTTTTGGGGGGGGGGATAAAAAGTCGGAATTTCGTGCCTACTTACTTTATGGACGGACCACTATGTACAGTTCAACAGGTGGCTCTGGAAATAGTGAAACTGTTACGTTACACAATATGGTCGCCTGCACGTTTAGTGTAGATGGATTGTGCTGCTTTGATTTATCCCACAGGATCAGGCGCGATGCTAAAAATGGAGGGGTGGGTTGCTTTAGAAATTTTTACATTGACATAACTATATTTTGAGAAGACGTTTCTCTGTCTTTTTCAAATTTAGTAAGAAATTTACTTGGTAAGTTTTGTTTGTTATGCAACATGTTTGAACGGCGACCCAGATAGAGTCAGATGATGTCCAACCCCCAACCCCGACCCCTCCCCCGCCCCCACTTCCACTCCCGCTTTTCGAATATCTGATGCTGCTGCGTCCGACAATGTGCCAAGTGACCCGTAATTTGTGATGGTGATGTACTTTGTTTCATTGTTACAATTCCAACCACATTTCCCTTGATTGCAGGTGCCCTGACATATTCAGTTTATTCCAAAAAATAACGTACGCATCAAGCGAGGAAACTATCAAACAAGTTTTCAATGGAATACAAGGAGAAATTCAGTCAAACGTGGACGACCCTGGATGCGTCAAGGATGACCTAATCAAAGCAGCGAAAAAAGCTGAGTAGGGATAATTACACGTGAATTATCATGAATACTACGCTGAATGGGAGACTTCGCAGACGATTGGTGGCAGCAAACACACCGGTCCTTTTCAATAATTCTTGCGTCGTGTGTAAGCTAATTTGCTCATGTTCAATATGACGCAAACAATAGAAAAGGACCGGTGTGTTTAAGTTTGCTGTACCGGATGCCACCGAGAGTCTCAAAAGTCTCCATTGTTGCACAAGATTAAGGGTTTGTGGAAGGTTTTATGAATAAAATCTAATTGTTTTGTATTTGAATTACTTGTCCTTGTCTCCTTGTTTTTGTGTGTGCCTGTAAAGTAAAGTATGCCTGATTATGTTGACCCAAATAATCCTTTCCATTTATTTAACAATTCACAATACTACTCTAGTGAACAGTTCTCGGGGACCTATAAAAATATTGATGGATTTTCTCTACTTCATATCAATATTAGGAGTCTTCAAAAACATTTCGATCAACTTAAACTTTTGTTGCTTACATTGAAATATAAGTTCTCGGTCATCGCATTATCTGAAACCTGGCTGAAAACATATCCCCATAATTATTATTTTTTACCAGGGTATAAACTTATTGTTAATAACAGACAGGGGAAAATGGGTGGAGGCGTAGCTCTGTATATTTCCTGTGACCTCGATTTTAAAATTAGACAGGATCTTACCCATTCTGAAGATGTTTTAGAATCTCTTTTTGTTGAAATTTCGTTTCCCAAAACTAAGGATATTATCACAGGCGTCTTATATAAACCTCCAATTGTCAATGTTCTTGATTTTTTACCACCTTTTCAAAATTTGTTCTGTAGAATGACATCTTCCAACAAAAATTGTATTATTTCTGGGGATTTTAATATTAATTTACTCAATCATACAGCCCCCAGCACACAGGCTTTTACTGATCTCATTACTTCTTATTCTTTTTTACCATTAATTGATAAGCCCACTAGAATAACTGATTTTTCTGCTACGCTAATTGATAATTTTTTGACGAATGTGTTACCATCTCACAACTCGGGCATAATTTTGTCTGATATTTCCGATCATTTACCAATTTTTATGATAATGTCCTCTCATAAATCTAGTGCCTCCTCTAATCATTTTAACTATGTTGGTTCCCGTAAATTCACTCATTTCAATATCCAGAGGCTTAAAGAAGATCTGCATACAACCGACTGGTCTAACATTACTACCTGTGATAATCCCGATTATGCATTTAATTTATTTATTGACAATTTTAATGATAAAGTTGATAAAAATATTCCACCTAATTTACATAAGCCCACGTCAAAGTCCAATTCTAACCAAACTGCCCCGTGGATTACTAAACTTCTTCTTAAATCAATTAACAAGAAAAATAAATTATATCGTCATTATATTGCTAATCCGACAAA